TCTTCCACAGATTGGACCTCTTCCCTGGGTGCTCTGGGCCTCCCCTTTCTTCCAGTTACACAGTCCTCTGGGTGTACTTTCTGTCGTGGAGTCTCTTGAAGCACTTTGGTGCCTTTATCTTTGTCTGTGTGCACATCTTCCTCTGGTGTTTGTGAGAGCCTGCTGAGTGCTGGGACCTCTTCTTTCAGGTCCACTTTTCCCAGAGATGTCTTGGGCCGTCCCTTCATGCTTGTGGGAGTGTTGATTGGTTCTGGCTGTAAAGATCTGTGGTGCACATTAGTAGTTAGAGCCTTCTCATTCATTGGTTCCTTGGTGTGATGTGGTGTTTGGAGGAGAGCTTGGCTATCTACCCCATCTTTTGTGGCGGCTCCCTCTGGGCATCTCTCGAGGCCTGCTGGGAAAGATGCTGGCTTACATGTCTGCCCCGAACTTCTAGTTCCCCTTCCAGCTGCCATCATTTCAGAATTTTCTTTTGATTTGATAATTTCCATATTTTTTTCAGGTCTTTCAATTTCTTCCATCTCTCCTACTTCCTTTTCTCGTAGTGGTGGCCTCTGTAGACCTCTTCCCATGATGTTATCAATGTCCCTTTCTGTGTCTTCACTCTTACTTTCTATAGGTACCTTCACTATATTTCTGAGCTCCATAGATCTCCTTAACCTGGTTGCACTGGACACTGTCTGTGAAGCCTCTGGCTCCATATCTGAAGTTTTCATCTTAACAGGAGTCACTCTAGAGGTGTTAGGAGTTTTCAGAACATTGTCATTTTCTTTTATACACTGCTGCCTTAAGGTAGGGCTTGCAGAATATTTATCAGATAGCTCTTTTAGTGCATTCTGCGTGCTCAAGAGCAAATTTTCTCCTGTGGAAAAAAAAATATAGTAAATATATTCTACTCACTGTCTTATGACAATGTAATATTTTATCCTCATGAAAGATAGTAGAAGAACAAGATATTTAGCTTCATGTTTCACTGAGCATGAGAAGCCACATATATGGCTATAAATCTATCTTACCTAAGAACTATGAACATGTAGGAATGTTATTTGGTGATTTAGTGGAGTTGTCAGGATCTATCTGATTATATAATGGAAATAATTCCTTCAGAGAGATCCTCTGAAGGCTGCTGCACCATGTGTCATTGACCTATATACAGGCATTTTTCTTCAAATATTAGAAACAAACACCTATTTCTTGCTCTGACCTATCAATGTTATACTTTGTACGGTTAGAATCCCTATTGCAATACTTACCTACGATAAGTATTGTCAGAGTAGCTAGCCATCCCCTCCATGGTAGGAGGATAGTCACCAACACCAAATAAAAGAGTAAGATACTTCCCTCTCCAGTCTCAGGCTCACCCTGCACCTGACCCACTTAGAAAACAAGCAGGAATAACTTCGTAGTACACAACTTATCTTTTTTGTAATTTGTAGTAATTTTGAATTTAATTTATATGTAAGTATGAGACAGCATTATAGTTTTCTGCTATATCATCCTCTTTGTTTACAATAAAGAAAGAGGCCAAAAGTGTACATGGGTCACTTAAACTTCTTAATGTCAATGTTAGTTTAACTGGTGATAGGAACTTCCCTTTCAAACAACCTAACAGAAAAGATGTAATGATCCTCATAAAAAATGTCTGTTTCAGAGAATAACAAAAATCTATAAGCTCCTTTTTTCTTTTTCTGAGAGAGAGTCTCACTATGTCACCGTGAGGAGAGTGCCTTGGCGTTACAGCTCTCAGCAACCTCAGCGATTCTCTTGCCTCAACCTCCCAAGTAGCTGGGACTACAGGTGCCTGCCACAACACCCAGCTATTTTTTGGTTGCAGTTGTCATTGTTGTTTTATCAGGCCCCGGCCAGGTTCGAACCCACCAGCTTTGGTATATGTGGCCGGTGCCCTAGTCACTGAGCTACAGGCACCAAGCCAAAAAAAATCTATAAAGCATCTACCCAAAAATATCACAGTGCCAAGAAAAAAGGAAACCAACCAAAATTCTCTGAAGTAGTTAGCAGAGGTTCTTCTCCTGACTTAGTTACTTGTAACTTTTTTCCAAGCAAATTCTCTGAACTTGAAAGAGCAACAGGACATGAGCTTATCGGTTGTGGTTTCTCCTTCACTGGTGTCTTGAACATTTCACTTAGTCCTGGTAAATGAAAACATTTGGGAAGCAACTGTCATATTGGTCATACATGGAAACAACCACCCCAGGCCACATGTACAAGAAGCTTCTGCAAATCATGGAAAATAACAACAGATCCCTCTCTAGAATTCCTGGTACACACGGACTCATAAAAAAGCAATTGCATTAATAGTGGACTAATTTTGTCAAGAAAGCAAAGGGAAAATGCAAGGTGGCCATAAAGGTCATGTGCAATTTGAAATTATGTGCAATTTTAAATTGCACAAGAGCTTTATGGCCACCCTGTATGTTATGTTCCTTCCTTTTCTTGGAAAAATGAAGCTAATTAACCTCTGTGGTCTTGCAGACCAGAGTTCTAGTCACAGCTCCTGTCCTGGAGGTCCTGCCTTCCAGGATCCAGAAGCCAAGTGTCTTCCTGCTATCTTCTGAAAGTCTTGTGCTTTTCAGTTCTCTATGTTATGTACAGTAACATGTGCCCATATTTTAGAAAATGGAGCCTGCCCATTTTTAGTACTGTCAAATAATGATATATATTTTTAAGAAATCTCTTTCAGAAAAACTCATATAATCCCATGTTTTCCTTACTTTCATCATGTGACATCAGTCTGGCAGTAATCTACAAAATGTGTTTGGGAAGCCAGTTCTCAGGACTCCCTTGCAAAACAGTCCATTCACTTAAAAATCTCTTCCTTCTATAGCCTTTCAGGTCATACTTTAAATGCCCAGAAGTTAGTCTTCAGCAGATACTAATGCTTTGTATTCAAATTTGCTCACACCAAGGGGTGAGAATTATTTGACTCTAGAAAAGCATCTTAAAAGAAGGAATGCTTGAGACAACCCATGATCACAGGCAACATTTCAAATTTCATTTATTCTTATTTTCAAGAGTTTGTTTAGAACATGTTAGTACATTTGTACACACTCATGTAACTTATAAAAATACACATGTATAAGTCTAGGTACATTATTTTTGTTGTTAATTTTTTTATAAAGATAAATGAATTGCTCCAATTATGACTCTAATTAGAGGGTAACTTGCACACATTATACTGAAGAGTATAACAATTCTTAAAATTCATAATCTGCCAAGAAATAAAATATTCCACCTATTCAGTTCAAATCTCACCTCCCTTCCAAACTGAACATAGTGAAAACCACTGGACAAATTATACAACTTGAAACCTAACATCTGCTCTCTTGAGCAGATTTATAGCACTCATTTATAAGTGCTACAACATTAAGCAAGTCAAGCCCCACTTTTACTGAGAATCAGAGTGGAAATATTTGCCCGATTGTTAATTGTTGAAGGGAACCTCCTCATAGGGATTTCTTTCAAGAAACAGTTAAAGTACCTAGAAAAAAGATAAATCTTGAGAAAGCAAAATATTGCTGAAACACAGTAAATCCACTTCTGGGATAAACTATTAATATAGCTGCAGGGAGAGAGGCAATGTTAAGAATAAGTTGTATTCTTCACTACGAAGCATTTTGCAATTTCCTCAGGGCACACTGCTCTCCAACATAAACATTTGACATTTCCATACCTACTTCGTAGAGGACACATGACCCCAAAATTGTTAGACACCTGTCCTTATAAAGCAAACCAGCTTTACCTTCCTTGAATATTATGACCCCAGAAGGTGGACTCAATTTTTTATTCTATAATCTCACTCACAGCAGATAAAAAAAGGTAGCAAAGCAAATTATCAACAAAGTCAAAAATAGGATCAAATGGGTTATGATTTATAAGAGCTGAGGCTATGTTTTTACCTGAAAGATCTTCCTTAATGTCCAATTTGTGGTTGGAAACAAAGTTGTTCAGCATTCTGTAGGGCTGAGCAGGCACGTTTACTTTTTCAATGTGAGCTTTTCCTATTATTATGGTACAAGGAGAGTTTGCATGGCCTGTGCTAAACTGTTGGTGAACATTGTCCATAGGCTTCTGTAGAAAACAGGAAGGAGAGGAAAACGTCAAAGCACTAAGACATACATCACCTGATCTTAAACAGTGCCAGCCATGCAAACACGCAGTTTACAGTGGCACCTCATACCTTCGGAGTGTTGGGTCTTCTCTGTCTTTTGTTTACTGGCTTTTGAGATGCACGTTTCACAACTTTTGTTTGTGTTTGTTTTGCGCCAAGTTTTACAACATCTGCCCATGATTTTGCAACTGTCAAAGGGAAGAGATGATGAAACTTCTCAAAAACTAATTAATAAGTAAATTCACTTGAATATATATTTGCCAGTACAACACTAACCAATTAAATTGGCTTCAGAAGCTCCACTTCTTCTTTTGGAACAAATCATCTGTAAAATGTCATGTTGATTCCGACTGATAGAAGTTCTCTTTGAAGGCAGGTTGCCACTCTTCCTCCCTCCTCTTTTAGGAATATCTGTCTGAGATTTGCTGCCACTGGAAACAAAGGATGCCTTGCATGATCTACAGCTTTGATCATTTGTAACCGGAGTTGTCCTAGGGCCAGGACCAGTACCAGGCCCAGGAGCTGGAGAGCTCACATACACGTTTTGTGCTGTCATTTCCAAATGGATTTCAGAAGCAGACTCTTCTTTGCTTGATGGTTGAGGCTGTTCCTGACAAGACAGAAATATTTTTAAGAAACCTTACCAAGGATGTAACATCTCCATAACAACTATTAGAAATCTATTTAATTAAAAATTTAATTTAAATCTTAAAGCATCAAATGTTTAAACTATTGTAAAGGGAAGACTGCCCCTATCACTTAGGGAGAAAAAAGGAAATTTAAGCAACTAAGACGGCATTGAGGTATCTCATGTAGAAGGATGGAAGGAAAGTCTGATCAGTGAAAGACAAGCCTGCTCTGAATTTAGTTCCAGCAAACCTGCAGCAGTGTCCAGGTCCCTGTGATCCATATGAAGGGAGAGCTGCTCTCCCTGGAGAGCCAGCATAAATGGAAAGCAAACCAGGCATCACTCTTATCTCCTATTGGTAAGAGAAGTAAAGATGGCCCAGGCCCTGTTATGAAGGTGAGCCAAAGGGTTGTACCTTTGCAGCAATTTAAAACAAAGGAGGACAACAGGGCGTGAGTTCTAAAAAACTATGTGACAGCTGGATGATTATCCTTATCATCAGTTAAATGCATTAAATGTAGCCTTGCAATTCTAAAAGAAAATAAAACAATCCTTATTGTTATATGAGGTGATGTATCGTTTTAACTGGTCATCTTTACTCTAACTGGATGGTGCTATAAGTGCAGGTGTCAGAGGACTCCTGCACTACAAAGGGAAGTACAGAGGATGCCCAGCTCACGCACATCAGAGCCACAGTTAGGGACCCAGATGCTCCCTTTTCAGCACCCAAATAGATGAGCTGTCATTCAATCTCTTTAAAATCTTCGTTAAAAAAAAAAAGAAAAAAGATGTTAATTATAATTCTACTTGTGTAGGAATTTTGGAAGGCATACAGGCAGTCCCCCAGTTACAAATGAGATAAGTTCTATAGATTTGTTCTTAAGTTGAATTTGTATGTAAGTTGAAACAAGTACATTTGCATATTACCTATAATAGCCTATTGTAAGTGCAAGTGTACATAAGTCAGATATTTGTAACTCGGGGACTGCCTACAGGTACCACATGAGTGAATCATCAGACAGCAATGGGAACCAATACCAATTTTTAAACTCACCTTGATAATTTTCTTCAGGACGGTTGTTGGGGTGTGAGTGACCAGAGACTTTCGTTTTGTTGGTGTTTCTCCTCTTTTGAGAGGGGTATTTGGAGGCAAATTTTCATCAAACAATTCTGGTCGTAGGTGACCACCAAAGGATACACGCCTTCGTTTCAATGGCCCCCCCTCACTTTTATCTGCAGTAATGATTACAAACATGGAAAGAGCAATGGAAAAAGCACACTAAGACTTGCAGTTTATTTCACATCCATACTAAAGACTAACCTGTTGGAAGTTCATTGATACCTAACACCCGCAGCATACCTTAACTCTCTTGTAATACTGATAAAGCTAAAGCTGCTTCAAGAGTACTTAAAAGATCTAAGGAAAAACCACTAGACATCAAGTTCCAATTGTTTTCTTTAGAGCACTGAAAAGTTGCATGTGGACGTAGCTTAAGAACAAGATCTGCCTGCAACAGTAGCTTTCACTTTAAAAGAGGACGGGGTAGCCGGGTCCATGGCCTGAGAACTTTCTAAAAAGATATGCACTTGGCCTCACTCAGACCTACCTAGTGAGGAGACTGTGAGAGCTGTACAAACTTCTGTAGATGATTTTGCTAGTCAGCTTACACTCCTATCACACCTCCCTGGAGCACCAGTCCCCATCCCTGGTCTCACTGATGCTACCCCTCTACAAGACTCAGTGGAGCACGGTGACTGATAGTCCAGGTTTCATTTTATAAGAATCTACTTCCCCAACACTAAGGACTATCTGTAGAAATAGAGCCCTGATAATAAGATCATTGCATCAGGATGTCTAGAGATCCTTTCTTTCTTTCAATAAGCCGACCCTGAAAAGTGTGGAAAGACACCAAGAAGCCACCACATTGAGCTTGGTCTGTCAGTGTCTTCATTAGCCACACCAAGATAAAAAGGAAACCTGCTTATCGGCACCACTACCACACTGAAGATCAAGTGGTTAATGTCTGTGAAGCATGAGTTTGCCTAACCTTTATGAAGTCTTGGGCCATGTGTTTACACTAAAATTGCTTCTAAGACACTCTGACAACAGAGTATAAATACCTGAACGCCATCACTATGTTCAGTGATTTCCAAGGGATTTCGAGTGATTTATTCTAAATGATACAAATCGTATGATAGTTAATAATAGTTTAGAATTAAACCCCAGGCAAAAGCAATTATGATTATTCTCCTTTCTATTTTGATAGGTGGAAAAGGAGAATCAAATATGCCTTAGGACCACCCTATCACCTTAACCAGCCACTGCTATGGGCATCCAGACAGCCTGCATCTCCTCTCCCATTCCTTGTTACAATTATCCAGGCCTTCAGCCTTCACCTGTCAAGTAAAATAATGAACATGTCTCTCTTACTTTGTCCCTTATGTGCTCAGATTATCTACCACAAAGATAATCATTACTGATTGAAAAAAGGTTTCATTAATTCTTATCTACATCTATGGCAGATGTTAATTTTTAGGAAAAATTTACACTTAAATGAACTTACTAATGGAATCACCAAAGTTGCTGATATCAACTGAACTAAGACCAGGTAAACCAGAGCACATCTGTCCAGCTGTAGTGCCCAATTTCTCAGGCCTGTTGAGGGAATCCTTTTGAATCTTCTTTTCAACTTCAGTGAGCCATAAAGTTAAAAACGGGTCACTCTGAATCTCTGTCTCAGTAGGCATAGCTTCCACATGTGTAGGAATACTCCTCCTCCTTTTAGAAGAGAGATTTTCTAACTTAGCAGAGTTGGCAGCCTCTTCTACTTTAGTTGTTTGAGTTCTAGTTAAAACTTTCCTAGGAGTAAGTATTTTATCCTCTGCCTTGAAGTCTTCAATTTTATCCAGACTCACAGAGGTTCTTCCACTAATAACATACAGGTCTTCATTCTTATGTTTTCGTGAAGGATTTTGTTGCTGTGAATATCGTCCTGGGGTCTTCACTTTAGTTGTCTCAGACGGAGACCTGCTGGAGCCCACGGCCTTTCTGGGCATAGACTCCCCCTCATCTCCTTTGCTCTCCTTCTGGCTGGGTTCTTGTCTGGGTGCAGCAGGGACTGTCAAGACGTGGGTGCTTTCACCAGATTTCCGTCTTGGTTTTCCTGAGACTACTAGTTGGGTCTCACTCTGTAAACCATCAGCACTTTCTTTTTCTGTTGTGTAATCACTTTGTGATCTTGATTTTTTATGATAAAGCAGAACATTTTCTTTTTGTGATGTTACCTCCAACTCTTTCTTCATTGACTGATAAAGCTTCCTAAAGGGAGATTCATTTTTTTTGCTACTTCCAAGATATTGCAAAGAGGAAAAAGACTTCGATTCTCCATTACAGCTCATTAATTTTACCCTAGAATTTTCTTTAAAATCTCCACAAGTGAGATCACTTGCATTTATGCCATAACGTCCGGGAAGTTCTGAGGAAGTACCATTAGGTGTTTCCTGGCCAACATTGTCTTTTGAGCCATCAAAGGCAGGACTGTCTCTTTTGATATTCTTGACATGTACCAGACGACTTTCCGAAACTTTTCCTTCTGTGACTTTTCGATGGGCATTGGAATCTTGATCTTTCCCATCTTGGCAATGAATTATAAAATAAGAAACAGAAGTTCAACATTTTCTTAATGATTAACATTGGAATTTAATATATTGCTTCATATTGTCATATAAAGTAGCTTTTCACTTAGCCTACAAAACACTTAATGCCTAAATTTGTATTTCTTATGAATGTAGTTTTATGATCCAAATAAATAAATCACATTAGTCTCTATAACCAGCATGAACTGTCATATATGCTACCAAACTGCTAAGAACTGAGTTGACATCTAAACAAGCAGTTTTCTTACCCTTGGACTTTCCTCTGTGACAGTGCCCAGCAATCGCTAAGGAACAAAAGTTAACTCAGGAATCTGCCTGCTTTTGACATGTTAACTGACACCTCTTACACTTTTGACAGACACCTTTAACACCTGCATTCTTATTGTCCCTTCCTTGCTATCATGTTTCACAAAACCTGATCTTTCAGATCTCTGATAAAACCAAACCACTACTCACCAGCATCAGAAGATAAGCTAGATCTTGAGACTCGATGTGATGGTTCCTATAGATTGGGAAATAAGAACAGCGATTTAAATACCTTTTAAATACTGGCAGTCATAACAAATAAAAAGGTTCTTTTAAGATTCTTTTTGATTGTTTTACTACACTTCTCTTATATGATTTTTACTTAAGAAATGGACCAAATCATTTGAGAGGTAGTGGTCCTAAAGTACCTCTTAGCTGACTTCCTTAGTTATTTCCCAACAACAATGGAAGAACCCAAAGCTAAAATTAAACATCAGACCTGTAACCCACCACAAACACAGAATCAATTTTAACAGAAATGGACCACAGAACTTATTGGTGAATCGAAGCTCCACTTAGCATATGCCCTCATGGCAGCCAGATATTGACTACAAGCCTGAAAGTCAAGGCACACACAGAGCACCCATGGGCACTGCGGCCTCAGAGCCTGCACTTCCTTTATATGGAATTTTTTGGAGTAGAAGAACTAAACAATAATTCATAAACAAGATTTAAAAAACTGATGGTGCCCAAGGAGGAAAATTATATCATCCAAATTAAGAAAAAAATTACCAAAAGCAAAGAATTTCCCTTCATTAGTTAATCAATTTCAAATTTGTTTAGTACCTAGCATTTTGCTTCTGAAACTATGTTAGGAGGGAGAGTTTTTAATTTCCAATCTTATACCTAAACAATACAAATGAAATATTAATAAAATTCAAAATACTTAAAATATGTAATTGTACATTTCAAATTACTGTAACATTTCCTACATAATCAATTTTAATACCCATTTTATCACAGACCAGTAACAAAACAAGCAGTCAGGGACTGCTGAGTGCACATATCTAATCTATAGTTCAACTAACTTTTGAGTATTCACTTTCACCTACTAACAAGATAGTAGTGACTAAGTGTGGGATACCCCAGAAACCAGCTTTCCCCACAGGAACTTGGGAACAGCAGGCTCAGCGCTGAGGCCACTCGTCTCAGGAAAAACCAACTCTTAACAGGGCAGAGATGCTGGAATCCAAGTACCTTGTTGCTAATTTTAGGTGCACCTAAGTCAAAAAACTCCAACAAGCTCATATGAAACTAGCTTAGGGAGCAATCAAAAAGTAGGAAAGATAAGAAACCTCAGAACATATCCTACACTGACTAAATCCCACAGCTTGTGCCCACAATTTGTTTTAATAAGCTGTACCAGTGGAATACATGCTTGGCAGTGAAGCACTCAAACCATAGGATTCTCTCACATGACACAGCAGGGGGATGCTCTTCCAGCCTCACAGGCCATCTGTCTAGCACAGTGAGAAAGCATTTTTGCCACTCACAGTTTTCAAGACATTTATTATTTCAGACACATAAAGATGGACAAATACAATGACTGAGAGACAAAATAAACCACCATATGACATAGTTCCCCAATTTCAGTTCTACATGTTGGGGGTATCCTAACTGTAGGGTTGCAAGAAGATGAGATCACAACATACTCCATAGACCATTTGACCAAAAGTGTAAGACTAACTAAGCATTCTCATTTTGAAGAATGAAGAGGAAATATTAGTTTTAGATTATTTTAATATGTGTAAGTTCATGTTTTAGTACTTTTAGTTATATTTTCCTCCTATAACCAATAAGCCATCCTTTTCTGTTACTGATTTAAGTGAGAAATCATTCATCAAAGTATACATAAATGACTCTTATTATGAAAAATAATCACAGCCCAAATTTAGAAAATCTTAACCATCACCTGTTTTTGTATTTTTCCTGGAAATTCCGTTGATTTGTTTCCATTCTGACAACTGTCATTTTCATACCTATAGTGCATAGAATGACAGACACAGATGGAAGTTAAAGATCTGTCCCCATGACTGAACTCTCCATATTGGATTATGTTCAAGGATCAGAGAACAAACTTTAGGCTTTGTTCAAGACATTACTATATACAAAGACATAAATTTAGAGTTAGAAAAGTGTTTTTACATTAAAAACTTATATAAGATGCATCAAGTTAGTTTTAAAAACACCATTGCCAGAGGATGAGGACTGATTAACTTCTGACTACTGGCTGGCCTGGGTATGATTTAACAATATTCCTGAGCATTTTCTATGTGCAAAACTGAAGGATAGGAGACTGAAATTGGGTTTTCTCTAATTGACATCCATAGAAGTCACCTAATGGCTTGGAAAGTCAACCAGGAAGCCTGCAGGCAAATGACTCTTAATCACATTGTAAAGTCACACCCTTTAGGGTAATTACAAAGTTATATATTAGAACACTATGCTTGGGCAGCACCTGTGGGTCAGTGGGTAGGGTGCCAGACTTATACCAAGGGTGGCGGGTTCAAACCTGGCCCTGACCAAACTGCAACAAAAAAATAGCCACGTGTTGTGGCAGGCACATATAGTCCCAGCTACTCAGGAGGCTGAGGCATGAGAATCGCCTAAGCCCATGAATTGGAGGTTGTTGTGAGCTGTGTGACGCCACAGCACTCCACCAAGGGCAATAAAGTGAGACTATCTCTGCAAAAAAAAAAAAAAAAAACCAAACTATGCTCACTCCAATTTCCCACTTACTCGATCTGCGTCTGAACAGAACGGGCACATCTTAAGAAGACTACATTTAGCAAGATACATAATTGTTCAGTGTTCAATGATCTCAGTGACCAATCCATAGAAGCAATCCTTTATTTCACATAATGAAAACTCAGCTCAGAAAGGACCTGATTGTGATTTAGATGTAACATAAAGCAATCAGGCATCTGGAACATTTCCTCATGGTAGCAGAGTTCTAAATCAAGTCCTTCTTTTCTAAAATCCATTGTTAATCTTTGCTGTAGGTCTTTAATCATATCATTCATCTCAATTTGAACAGTATCTCATTTTGGGGGGAAGTAGTTCAGGTCTCCATTCCACATCAAATACCTTCTACCTAGAAGTCTATATTCAAAAAAAAAATATCCCCAAGAAGCACCGTAAAAGAAATGTCCAGGGAATTTAAGTAGTGATTAGAAAATACCTACTTAATGAAAATGAAGACAGTAACAGAGGCAAAAATCCCATTAGCAAAATGGATTCAAAAATTCACCTGACAGTGGGTTCCAACAGACAAGTTAAACCATAATAATTATGAAAAATTGAAGTTAAGGTGTTGGATGGAAAAGTTATACTATGCAAATACAAATCTAAAGGCAATTAGTTTAGCTATACTTATTATCCAAAGGAACATCAAGTTAAGGCAGAAAGCATTACTAAAAGGCAGAGGACATTTCTAAATGAAAAGAGTTCTATGTACCAAAAGGACATACTTTCTAAACTATATCCCACGGTAAAGTCTCAAAATATACAAAGCAAAAACTAATAGAGAAAAAAAAGAAAAAGTAAATAAATCCTCAGTGGATGATTTCAATAAATCTGAGAGTAATTACTAAGAATATACTACAAGATTTGACTCTAATGGGCATATATACATATAACATTGAGTCTCACAGCTATATACATTGTTCTCAAATATACAGATTAGTAAGAAGTTTAATTGTATCTATTGTGAAGCAAGCCTTCATACATTTCAAAAACTGAAAACTAGCTAAATGTCCATCCAGAACAAATAGATTGTTTAATTATATGTATCACTGTATATATCATACATAATTTTTCAATGAAATACTTATGCAGTGAGAAAACCAAACTAAAACCAAAAAAAGACATCCATCAAGCTATGAAATCTCACAAACACAAGAACAAAAGTTAGATACAAATGTGTACATTAGTAATTAGACATACAAAACTACAACATTTAAAGATCTATGCTTAGTCCGAAGACTAATAATGGTGGGTTACTTGGTAAGGGAAATAAGTAGTGAATTTGACATGATAAAAACTTCTGGAGATATTCTTTATGAGTTCAGTGGTATATTAGTTTGCGAGGGATGCCATAATAAAACACCAGACTGAGTGCCTTAAATAACAGAAATTTACTTCTCACAGTTCTGGAGGCTGAAGTCCAAGATCAAGGGTTGGATTCCTCTGCATCTCTCCTGGGCTGGCAGATAGCACCCTCCTGCAGCCTCTTCTCATGGTCTCTCCTCTGGGCACCTGCTCCCCTTGTGTCTCTGTGTCCTAACCTCCTCTTATCATAACAACACCAGTCATTGATAAGGGCCCACACTAATGGCCTCAGCTTAACTTTAAGTGCCCTCTCTCCAAAATATAGTTACCTGCTAAGGTACTAGGCTTTGGGGATTCAAAATTGGATTTCAGAAAAGCCCATCCAGTTCTTCACAAGGGTGTTCACATCATGATAAACTGTTCTGTACTCAAGTTTTATACCTTTCCTAGAAGTCTACTTTGCTTTAAAATAAAAAGAAACTAGAAATCTCATGCAGTTTCGCAACACTCCCAAGGAAGCAACAAACTCCTTTAGGACAAAGTCACTTTTCTTTTACCTATTTCTGTGCACTCAAATCCTTGAATTTTATCAGATCAGAGACCCATTTGTCATCATTCTAGATCCATGTACTTTTAAATTAAGACTGATGTTGAAAATAAACACATTCATCAATATTAGAGAAAGATCACTGTTGAACTGTGAGACTAGTTACAGTAAATCAGAAGGTGCCAATCATTGTTAGCAAAATGAGTTTTTACCTACCTGAAAGATCGATCAATAACGGTTATTACATCTCCATGTTTTAGTTGTACAGGCTTATTAATAGCTGACCCATTTACTTGTGTTGGATTTGTGGAGCTAAAATTATATAAAATTGCCTGCAAATGAAGAGGAGGAAAGTATGCAAATAATGAATAGATACAAAGCAAACTGAAAAGTTCTAAAAAATCAACTTTTAAAAACTCACTTACCTCCTGCTCACTGATTTCAATTTTGCAATGTTGTTTGGACACTACAGGAAGCTGGATACGGATGTCACATTCGATACCCCTTCATGCAAAAGAATTAAGATTTTTGGTTGTTCTAACTTTTAAAAAATTACCTCAGTTTCTCAAAATCTAACAGACTCTGACTAGTATGTTTGATATGTAAATGTAATGACATAAAGGAACAACAAAACAAAATGGACAATGTAAACAATCTCTTTATTTTGCAATTAGTTTTTGGAAGTACTGCAACTACTTTATATCTTTAAAACTTAGAATGCATAAAAATAATTATAAAAGAAAATACTAAAATATCAATTATCTCCTATATAAACAGCCATACTTAAAAGACACATAGAAGTACATCAATTTTGAAGAATGACTAATTATTTTTAACACTCTGTGCTTCAAGAAAAGTTTACACACTTGAGAGGCCGAGGCGGGTGGATTGCCTGAGCTCATGGGTTTGAGACCAGCCTGAACCAGAGTGAGACCTCATCTCTAATAATAGCTAGGCGTTGTGGCAGGTACCTGTAGTCCTAGCTACTCAGGAGGCTGAGGCAAGAGAATTGCTTGAGCCCAAGACCTTGAAGTTGCTGTGAGCTATAACACCATGGCAGTCTACTGAGGGCGACAATGTGAGACTCTATCTTAAAAAAAAAAAAAAAAGGTATCCTTCTTTGTAACATTTTATATATTTAAAGCTTTAATTATCCCCAAATGTGCTATATTTTATGCTAGCAATGCTCTGCTTCAGTTTCTTCATATATAAAAAAGAGGTTACATTATTTGCCTGGTACATGGTAAATGTTCTTATCAGTAAAATTTTTATTGTTGTTTTAAAACTAAACTGTATTAACTGACAGTTTGCAAACATTAAAAACACTAATATTCAAGCAAAAAAAGACCCAGTATTTAGATTTAACTTCTTTCCACAGAAAGGTAATATAACCAAGCAGAGGACTAAACAATGCCTAAACCAAATGTAAACCAACAAAAGAGCTTGTTAGCAGGTTCCTGGGTTCCTGCTCATCTTGTGGACAAACCATGCCAGGGCCTGTTCTCCACATGAACCTCCAGGTCTAGAAATGAGGATGTGTTTGCAGGAGAATACAAACAGAAGAGTGCTTTTTAGCCTCAGCACTGTTGCCATGTCAGGCCAGATACCTTCATGTTGTGGGGCTGCCCTGTGCACTGCAGGTAAGCAGCACCCCTGACCCTGTTCAGTGATGCTAGTGTATGCCCCTTCTCTACTGGGACAGGGGGAAAATATCTCAAGATCTTATACAATGACCCCTGGGAAGTAAAGCAGCCCTATGGTGAGAACCATGGCTATCAAGTGATTGCCAATGCAAGTTTGCAGTCCATATTCCTACTAAATGTTACTAGAATGATAAATATTGACCATGTGTAATATGCCAGACAGCACACCTGCTCCTGTGTCCATGATTAACAAGACAGTTTTTACCCTTGAGGAGCTAGTCCAGTGGGAGAAACAAACCAACAACTCATCCCTGAATTTGTGCTATTAGGAAAACACAAGTTTTCATAAGAGGCTTAGTTTAAGGTACCATTTAAACCGAAACTTGAATGATGGGTAGAGAGAACTTTCCAGTCATAAACTTCCATCTGTGTAAAAGTACCATGGTACACAAGAGTTTAGAATGCCTTAGGTGGAATAAATAAGGTAGGTGACTTTGTTGGGAGGATGGGATGAGGCCAGAATGGGGGTCACAGGTCAGAGCACACAGAGAGGGTAGGTAACCTCACACCTCTGAGGACACTGTTAAAAGCTGATAGGCCAGCTGTCAGTATCTGTGCCTGTCCTAGGGGGCAGGGCTATGACATCTCCAAAGGTGTAGGCAGCAGAAAAGTTTTCAAAACACAGGCGGGAGGACTTGCCCTCCCATTTCCATAGTTCTGGAAACAACCAAGAGCCAAGCATCCAGCTTCTCTCCTTCCTTCTCAGTGTCAAGAGTACCAATGATGCCCTTCTGGGAGACTGGCAGAAGCACCCAATGACTTCTAAAGGCTACCAGGAGCCAGTTATTTCTATCTTTCTCCATCAAAAGCTTTTCACCAAATCATTTTTAAATTTTTTCTTTAATTAAAAAGACCCACTTAGGGCAGCGCCTCTGGCTCAGTGGGTAGGACACCAGTCCCATATACCGAGGATGGCAAGTTCAAACCCGGCCCCGGCCAAACTGCAACAATAACAAAAAAATAGCCGGATGTTGTGGCAGGTGCCTGTAGTCCCAACTACTTGGGAGGCTGAGACAAGAGAATCACCTAAGCCCAGGAATTGGAGGTTGCTGTGAGCTGTGTGACACCATGGCACTCTACCGAGGGCGACAAAGTGAGACTCTGTCTCTACAAAAAAAATAGCCGGGTGGTGGGGCGGGCGCCTGTAGTCCCAGCTACTCTGGAGGCTGAGGCAAGAGAATCGCCTAAGCCCAGGAGCTGGAGGTTGCTGTGAGCTGTGTGACGCCAGGGCACTCTACCGAAGGCGACAAAGTGAGACTCTGACTCTACCAAAAAAAAAGATCTACTTAAATATAAACAACTATGTTGACAATGTATGGGGGGGAAAACGCCAAGGGAATCGGAGCACAGGAAGCTGTTCCTGTGATTAAGACACTTTCCACCTTCCACCTAAGCCGCCATGTCCCCTGACCCCGCAGAGCTCACCTTCCAAACAAGCAGGTGCTGAGGCTCAAGGGAAAGTGGGGACCGTCCACCCCGCTCCTCTTGATGGTAACTAGGCGCCTGGCAGGCCGCATGTTCTAAACAACGCGTAGAGTGTCTCCGCGGAGGAAGGCCAGGCTGGTAGAGCCGAGTCTGCAGCGCCTCTTCCACTGCAAAAAAGGCAGGGATGACTCTGAAGAGAAGGGGACCGAGAGGCGACTAGCCAGGGACCGACCAGGGCGGCCAGTCCAACTCCCCCCGGCCCTGCCCGCAGGTCCGCACCGTAACTGCCCGGTGGAAACCCGCGCTCGTCCCGGGCTGCACCCCATGGCGCTCCCGGCGCCCCACAGCCCAGGATCCTGTCCCCGGGGCCGGCGCCGCCCGAAATTCCCACCCAGACCCCCGGCCGGAGCCCAGGACCAGCCGGGCCCAGGCCGCGCCCCCCGCCCGCTCGCAGGAGCCCCGAGGGTCCTCGCGGCTCTGGCCCCGGGCCCCGGACAGCCCCGGTGCCCCCGAAGCCCCGGCCTCGCCTTACCTGGGGCGAATCGGCCCACACGGCCGCCCGTCGAACCACCGCTCGTCACGTCTCACCCAAAATCCGCAGCAGGGGACGCGACGACCCGCGTCCTCCGCTCGCCGCTGCCCAGCGAGCCGAGCCCGCCGCGCGTGCCACGCAGCGAGGGACGCCGCCCGCGTGGCCGCGATCACCCCGCCCCGCAGACCCCGCTCCTCCCGCCGCCACCCCCGATGGCGACCCGATGGCCCTCCCGCCGCTTCTCGCGGCGTCTCTCACAGTTCGGAGTTTGGCGGCTCCAGCCGCGTCAGCTCACGCGCAGCGCGCGCCCGGTTCAAACGTAAACGGATATTCAAATTCTGGCGCTAAGCGCTGCGATTGGGCAGGATGGGGTGGGATGGGGCCAATAGGAAGGGCGTGGGCGGGGCAGGAGGCGCGGCAACGTCTCCGAGGAGGGGAAGCCGTGTTGCGCAGCGCCGCGGGGTAAGCTGCGCAACCGGAAGAAAAATGCTGTATTACTGTCCTCAAAATATAGCGTTTAAAGGACAGAAACGAAACATAGTTCCACTGCCGAGATAGCCTCTCCATCCTTTACTCTAAGGATCAAACACATAGAACACTAGAGGTTACTCATTCCAAGAAGATGGAAAAATTTTTAAAACCTAAAACCTTTCTCCTGTCTCCACCTCTCGCAAGCTTAACCAATCATTTAAAGTAGTTTCCTGTCTTTCCAGTTTTACACATCTTATTCTCTTTTTCCAAAATACACACAAAAAGAGCATAATGTACACATTGTTCTATACTTTCTGTACTCTGCTTTTAAAAATCTCAAGGCTGTTTCCATGAAGCACATTCTCCCACTTTTCTTTCTTTTTTTTATTTGGGATTAATGTGAGGGTGCATATGATTAGGTGGTTGCAGAATATGTGGCTTTGGGAAACCATAATTTGCTTGATCATTACTGCTTCCACACAATGTTTTGCTATTAGAAAAAATCCACCAATTAAAATAACTGTGCGGGGATGAACCCTAAAATAATCCCAGGTAACTGGACCGTGGCTTCTTTGATCAAGAGAAGGGGCATTTACAGTGTGGCAGGGGGATTCTTTGGGGGATCGTGAGATCAAAGCACGTGTAATAACAATATTTTTTTACGTTTTTCATTTATTCTCTCAAAAGAGTGGGGTGGAGTTTCCCCGAATTGTGAAAATTCAGCTATCTTCTATTAAGCCAGGTATTAGAGACTTGCAAAAATGTGAGATAATACTGCTGCTTTTAGTTTTTTTGTTTTGTTTTGGACAACACAGATTTTTTTTCCCGTAAAAATAAATTATTGGTGTTAGCATGAGTTTATTTTTCAATGAAATAATACGTGAATGTTCTTTAAATTCCTCAATTTTAAGTTGAAGCATATTAATAGTAAGTATAGATAGATATAACCCACGTAGGTAAAAATTCTGAGTGGTTCTCAATCATTCTTAAGTGTAAAGAAGAAAAAGATTGAGCCCTTCTGTCTGGAGAGGCTCAACAACGAAGAAACAGACGTCTCTGGAAATGTGGAAACCCTAAAGAAATCAACCCGAAGGTGTAGGGCAGCCACTGAATTGTATGGGCTGACCCTGATATATACCAGAAAAGTTAAATGCTGAGATCCTATACACTATTGGGGGGGTCCTTAGTTTCCATTTCCTCCCCCACTAAACAATCAAAGCTCACCACTGAAAAACACCCCCACACCCTGTCAAACGCTACCTTTCTCATCATAATTACTGCTTGTTTTCAGGGACATTCTTCTTTCTTTAGGGAGGTAGCCTCATTAGAACTACAAGGTGCTAGAATGTCCGTTCCCTGGAACGGGAATGTTGAGAGTGGCGGGTCTGAGAGCTGCGGGACAGCCTGTCTTTAGACCGTTTGATGACAGCCCCTCACAAAGGTGCTTTCAGTTAAATTTTAGTCGTGGCTAAGGATTTCGTTATAAACACCGACCTCACGGCTGTGCAGAGAGCCCCTTGCACCCCTGTCCCCGGCTTCCGGCTTCCGGCTCTGCGGCTCCTCCCAGCCTTAACAGATCTCTGATACAGCGGGAACAAAACCCTGCAGTTAGAGCACTAGCGATTCCGGGTGCGCAAGAAAAGGCTTTGGGGGTGGGGGACTGTGAGCCTGGGGAGTTCAAGGAGTCAATTTCCAGGTCGCAGGGTCTGCGGGCCCCGCCAGAGATCAGGCAGCCGGGGACAGTGTGTGCAGGGGAGCTGCTGCCCTGGGCCCGTCTCTCTCTTTCTTCTTCCACCTCCCAATTCCCCCAGTGTTAATAAATTTAAATGGACAGTGGCCCCAGGCACACAAAAAAAGACTCCAGTAATTCCCGTAACTCTGTGCCCGTCCGAGTAGAGGGTGTGTTGCTAATAGATTTTGAGTTTATTTTCAATGAATATTCATTATAATTTGGAACATTCATGTTGTTTCATCACCTGCTTTAGTAACATTCTGTGTAAATCCGTGTGTATTGTTTATATATACACAGATACATATATAAACATACAATGTAGAGGGGGGAGGAGAAAGAAAGAAAGAACAGTTGAAGGTAAATAGAATGGGAGCGAATAAAAGATTCTTAAGCACACAAGTCTGTGAGTTCCCTTAGGATAAAATTTGGTGGGGGGAAGTGAAGTAGTAGCCCGAGCTGGAAGAAAAAGGGACGCTGTGGGGAGCTGCATTCTGAGAGCCCCGAGTCAATCCTGCAGTGCTGGGCGCTCCCGCCCCTGTTACTGAGACCCTCTCTTTGGCTTTGCTGTTTGTCTTGTTTATTTATAAATTTCCTTCTTGGCCTTGACTTGGGCTCCTTCCGGCATCACCAGTCCCAGTAAGGGACCTATGAGGGTCCCCTCAGCTTGCGGAGGCGGTTTCAAGAACGGAAATACTGACTGCTCCTCCCCCCCGCCAGCCCCCAGGGGCTCCAGGCCAAGCGCAAGATGGGGACACTCCAGGCCCCACCTCCCGAGCAGCTGTGCCCCTGCAAGTACAGCCCACAAATACGGTTAATTTGGGTGGAGCCTCATCCAGACAGCCCCGCGACGGTGGGCGACAGGTGTCCCTGAGCCCACGAGGAGGCCCCTCCCCTTTCAGGCCACGGGACCCTACAGCGGTTGCCCGGTAGGGGTCGCTGCTCCAATCAAGGGAACCCCGGGATCCCCACTTCTTCCCTACTTGGTCTCACCTCTATGCCCGACCCACTTCGGGTTGCTAACGGTGGAGAAGACAAAGACCTCAGTGGGTGTGGCAGGGGGCGGGGGATGGAAAAAATTGGCCCCCGCCAGGTAAGAAGTGCAGGGCCTTCTGAAAGAGGGCCAGGGCACTCTCAGTAGCGGAAGGGGTGGGGGCGCATCACTGAGATCCTGGCCACGCCAGGATGTCTGGTTATTGTCAGCGCAGCCCCGAAGCCCAGACACGCACAACACCCAAGAGCACCTGCCTGTCTTCAACCCCGCCCCAAAGCTGAACTCACTACTGAGGCTCAGGCTCCTGTCAGCTGCGTGTCGCAGCTCCCTGGGCAGGAAACAAGTGCCCCCACCCAGGTCAGGAGTTGGGCTCCTCTCACCCTTCCCCTTCTTGGGGGTGGTGTGATGGAGGTGGCCAGGTTCTGCAGCACGGTTCCTCCCCCATCCTAGTCTCCCACCTGGTCCCCTGGCCTTTGTAACTGGGCTGTCTGTCCCTGATGTGCCTTCCCTCAGGGCAACTTGTCCAAAGCACAGATGAAACTATACCTCTCCCCAGGGGAAATTCTGTTAGCTGTTCTCCACTCCAGTTATGCCCCAACTCTGAAGAGGACAAGTTCTAACCCCCAGTACCAACACCTGACCTCAGGGTAGGCTCTTTCTTAGGGTATTCACCATCTACACAGGACTTCAGCCAATTCACATCAGATTATGTTACGTCTAGGCTTACCCCTTTAAAAGGCTTCTAGTGGTGTGTACCTACACCCCGGCAGGAGTGTACACACCTTTTCAATATTCATGCTGCCCTTAAGTTTTATAACTTCAAACTTTGCTTTCACAGTTGTGAATATCACTTTGCTAAATCCCCCCTCCCATTTTCATGTTTTCTTCTCTAATATTTTATTAGTACAAATACTTCTCTGATGAACATCTTGAGAAAGTTTTGGGGGTATTACAGATTGTGTTCTTAGTAGTTCCTCAGATCTAGTTTCTGGGTCAAGTAGGTTTTGTACCGTCAAGTCACCTGCTTTCCAAAAGAGTAATGATGCTTTCTCCACCCAATGCAATGCCTGGGAATATTTGACAACTGTTTATATCCCTGTTCTGCAGGGTGAGTAGAATTTTAAAAATCAGTCATTAAGCTAAAAATATTAAAAGCTATTTTACCGGATTGTTTGGAAAAATGTGTGTAAGGATTAAAACTCTCCAGTTTGGTGGGGCAAGGTGGTTCATGTCTGTAATCCTAGTGCTTTGGGAGGCCAAGGCAGGTGGATTTCCTGAGCTCAGGAGTTTGAGACCTGCCTAAGCAAGAGGGATACCCTGACTTGACTAAAATTACAAAAATGACCCAGGTGTTGTGGCTGCTGCCTGTAGTCCCAGCTAGTCAGGAGACTGAGGAAAGAGGATCTCTTGATCCCAAGAGTTTGAGGTTGCAGTGAGCTATGATGCCATGGCCCTCCATACAGGGTGACAGAGTGAGATTCTGCCTCAAAAAACAAATAAACAAAACCCCTCTTCATCTCCTAAAACAGATTTTACTTCTGACTAATACAGAGAGTGGGGCAAAGAGGGAAGAAATGGGACCTAAAAGACACCCCCAACGTGATGCAAAAGCCAATAGCAAGTCTTTCAGAATAGGGTCACTGGAGTGTGCAGTGGAGAAGTGAAAGTGAAATAAGGTTGCAGGGGATGTCGAGATGCCCGTTGACTCCTGTGCGGGAATAACTTCAGTTCAAGTGGGGAGACTGGTTTAGCCATAGTAATTACAGCACAGGACTCTACCAGCTAATAGAGATGTTCCCAATTTGATAAATGAAATCATCAAAATAAAGTTATATTTACATATAATTAATAATCTAATGCAAAAAGTCATTGTT